ATTCGCACGAAAAGCCCATTTCGCGAGGACTTTCGTGGATTTCATTTCAGGTCTCATCAAATGTGATCCTCGAGACTTTTGCAAGATGCAAGCTTTGCCAAAACGCAAATCAAAATGGCCCAATGTGGAAATCCATCCATTTCAAAACTGGTAAGGCACTGCCCAAAACCTCCAAAAAGTGAAGACTTGGTGCTTTAATTTAACTCCGATTTTGCTGGGTTTGAACTTACAGAGATCCGATATGGAACACAACTGACAGCACAACATCACAAATGCAAGTTAGCTCGTTTCAAAAAAAGGATAAAGATATAATGAAAACGAAGTTTTAAGTATAACAACAGCGGAAGAACCATCTAGCAGATAGATTGAACTTTTTGGAAAATTTTTATTAATGATAAATGCAGCTTTAGAACTACACAGATATGTGATTTACAAGACCAAAAACAAATGAAGGAAAAACCAGCAATTCTAATAAGATAGCCAGTCTTCGCTTTCCGTCCGCTCCGCATCGGCTTCGCTTCTTTTTATTTGAGAGCTGATCGCAGCTCATACAGCCGTGAGTGGACAGAGCAGCCTAAAACGGTTACGTCAGGTGAATATTTATTATTCCAAAATTTAATTGGGTGCACACAAAGGTGCGTAATTGTGCGTGATTTTCATGACGTCGCGATATTGAGGAAATGTCTCCCGATGTCGCCGATTGTCGCGACATTCCTGGAAACTTGCCACTTTTCTGAGAGGTACGAGCTTCAGTCTCGCAATGACTTTGTTCCCACTGTGGAATTCCCACCAACCAAGGCTCAGATGTGGCTTTCGACCCATGGAACGACATATATTGAAAATACTCGCTTAGTCGTGTGATACACCTGGCTTAATACTCAAGAAACTACAGACATGTACTTTTTCTTGCATATGTTCATTTCCAAAAATAAACAATTTTTTATCTACTTGGCTGTTTCCTGAATCAACTTATCCTGCAATGGATATCAACTGATGCTAAACACATACCACCGTTTTCCATGAAACAACGGTGTTGCTTGGTTTTGGGAGGTAAAAGTAAAATGACTCTGTGCTTTTCTTATCTGTCTATAATAACTGTAGAGTTTGATGACTTTAATGACCCCTCACTTATGTCTAGACAGTATATAACCGGCTAACTGCTGAACAATAACCCACCTCGAATCATGAAAGTTATTCAAGTGTAACACCTTTCTACTTTACGCCCAAAGTGAGAGGTAGACTCCCGTCAATAATTTGCGGTTTTCAGGACTTTTTGAAACAACAGAAAGCAAACCATCGGGTGCGCTCAGCCGTAAGTGGTATATTTAGCAGAAACGAAGGACTTCAATCCTGGAAAACACATTTGCGCCTAAATTTTGGTGATTCACACTTATACGAACACCTCGACAAAAGTTTTTTCAGAGCTGCATTCGCTACACTCAAATTTTTTTGAAAAATTGCATTAAAGATCGAAAGACCTGCTGCTTTTTTTACCTATTGCCATCTGTAGGGAGAAGAATCTGCACTTTTCTATTCAATTCATACGAAGACTTGCAGGTATAGTACGCCTGCTAAATAGATGTGTACCTAGTTTAGAGATGTGATGAAGTTGCAGGCGCCATACCCAAACATAGCTTTGCCAGTACCACAACTTTCCCTACATTCTCTGCTCAGAGTTTTCAAATGTAGCTTTGCGGAGGACTTAAGATTTCTGGTACAGACATTATCATACAGACATGCATTTGTCTCAACAAAAATTCTTGAGAGACAAAGGCTGAGTTTTGGTGCTCATATGTGCCTACTATATGGCAAGACTGGACTGGGCTAGAAGCCGCAACAGTCACCTAAAATTTTCCGTCGCTATACCTACATTACCTATCTTAAAGCTTCATTGTGTCATAAAGTTCTCAGTACTTGTCTCAGAGGCTCAGAGCCTCAATAACTAGATCAAAAGCAATCTAAACGATTGGGGAAAAGTCAAGCTTTTATTAAACGAACTCAGTAACTTTCGCGCATAGCAAAGGCTTTCAGAGTTTATCTCCGCAAAGAATAAAAAGGCAGAGATTGAGATGTTGAGTGAAGGAGAATTTTTGCTGGGGTGTTCGTACAAATATGAATCACCAATGTTTACATTTTTGGCTCAAACTCATCTTGGATTTGATCCATTTACTTTTGTAGCTTGTCGTTTTCGCTGCGCTCTTTCGCGCGACACTAACCGTGTTTCAAAGTTCTTCCAAAAAGTCCCAAACCCCTTAAAAGAAGGCGTTTCTCCCTACTCGTACTGCGATAAGATGAGGGTACCCGAAATTGCCAGTTCGAACGGTAAAGGAAATTTTCCAGCAACGGGAAAGTTCAAAGGAATTTTTTGAATTTTATCGCTAGCTTGAGCTGGAAATAAAACTTCATGCCTAGTCTTGTCTTGTCCTCGTTAGTTACGCTTCCATGATGCGCATCTTGCACCACTACTTTTTGCTATGTTTTATTTATTTAACTGTGACATATTTCGATAGAGAAAATTAATCCTGTCAAGCTAAATCTTTTGCACACAGACGAGGTGGATAGTGACTTGCTCATATGAGTTATTAATCTACAGATTTCTAGCACGATGGTAAATGAAGAACTGTAAAGACAGGGGGTTTTCTAAGTACACTGGCCCAGTAATGTATGGCTAGTAAATCGAAAAACGTGTGACAACAAAATGTATCCCCGTATAACAACTAGAATGTTGTTCTGTTTTCCGGAAAACAGCGAATCATGAATTAGAACACATTCGAGCATACAAAAACTGTTCTAAGTCGCATTTGCGATTGTGATGCTTTCCTGCCGACACGCAAGTGCACCAGGGTCAAGCAAACGGGTTGAATAGGAAATGTTTTCGCAAATATGTGATGCCCGAAGTTGTGATTTGCCTCCATCGACATTCATGAACGGAACGTTGAGAAATCAGTGAATGCCACATACTCCTCCTTGAGTTACATCTACCCTCACCCTCTAGCCACCCAACTTCATGAGATATATAGGTAATATCACTGCTTGACATTGCAAGCCACAACCACAGCCTAACCAGATCCGAACCTGGACTTCGAGGATTATCTTTTCAATGGAGCAATGTCATGCGAGCATAGAAGCTATACAAATAGCAGCGGAACAGCAAGAGCGGAGGCACAGCAGCGATTCGCAAGGGCATACCTGTCCGGCCGGTCCCTGAATTTGTCCTCGTTGGAGTCCGTTGCCTTCGTGTCATTTGCATTGTCACTCCTGAAAAAAAAGTTTAATTTCGGTTTTATAAATCTGCTAGATAACTGTTCAATCCTACGCTTCGAACCTGCTTTATGGCAAAAAATAAAACGATTTCGGTCAGTTGTGAAGTGTGGGCAACTTCCAATAAAATTTAATTATAAATATTCTTACTTATAGATAGAGTAAATCGGGATATTACTCAATGCCTCCCTTCTAAGAATGATTGATGATGATCATTTGATGATCAAATTAACCAAAGTAATCAAATTCACTGAGTGAATTTTGAAATAGCTCAGAAAGCAAGCTAAATGCGTGGGACCAGTCTGCAAAAGTTGCAGTCCCAAAATCAAGTGTTAGAACATCTGGTAAGGAAAAACGATGCCCGGCTATTTTTATTTAACAGTGACTTGCTTTGCTGGTCTTGAAAGGAAAGAAAAAACTCACATTCATTTCATTTTGTTGCATCTGAGATCCTCCCC